TCTGCACATTCTGCAGATAGTAGAAACAGGTCTGGCATTGTGTCTCTGTGTGTGTGGGTGTGTGTGTGTGTGTGTGTGTGTGCATACAGTAGGCACACGTGCAGCTGCATGTGGGAGCATATTAGCGAGGCACAGATCCTTTTTTTTGCGAGCGTCAAGGTCATTTCCCCGCTCTGTAACATTAAAGTATAAATGTGAAAACCTGCGTTTCACTCATGCACGTGCACGACACACGCTTTAACCTAGATGCAAGCCATTATCACCGTGGCACACATGCACACCCAATCCTATTAGTAGCAAATATGAAGAGGGGTGAATATTTGCTTAATATTTAGGCTGTTGCGTAACCATCCTTATTTACGACACATGTTGAGACTCATGTGGGGGTTTTTACAGTTCAAGGAGGAGAGACACTGAAAGGCAAGGAGAGGAAAACAAGTGAAAGAAAGGGAGAAACAGGAAAGGAGAGGTCGGAAGAGGAAGTAGGGAGATAAAAGAATGGAGAAGAAGAGAAATTAGGGAAGTTGGAAAGGGAAATAAGAGGAAAGGAACGGGAGAGAAGAGAACAGGTGGGTGGTAGAAGGGGAGGAAAGGAATAAGTAGGACATTAGATTGAATAACCAACGACAAGAGGACCGGCTGTGAGAAAAAGAGAGGAAGGGCTCTCCAGTGCACGGTAAAGGTCAAAGGAGACATACGAGCGTGCACTCCTCGCTTTCATCCTCTACCACGACTTCATCTGCTCTTCCTTGTTCCTCAAACCTCTTATAATGCCATACATATGAGCCCAATGAAATGTCAACAATAGATTAATTCAAACGTCTAGAAAGAAAATACTCTGGGGATTGAAACCAATTAAGTGAATTAAATAGATGTACTAGACACAATTGATTCACAGCATGATGTCTGCAAACATGTGCAATAAGTCAATGAGACCGTGAGATTGATTGTTTCTCACAGATCAACACATTTGGAGATGTTGTTTCCGACAGATAAACAAGAAGTAATCTTAAAGGATAAGCAATCACATAGTCAGAAAACTGATGAATAAACAGCCTAAAAATAGACAGGAAGTCAAGTCCCGAGCACAGATCTTCCTCCTCAGCTCTGAGGATGTTCCTATCAAGTGTCAAGCTGTCCTCCAAAGCGACATACATCATCACATATGATTGGTTAGAGTATTTCAATAATGCCAGTGGAAACCCCCCCAAGGAGGATTGCTGTCAAAGGGAAGTCACGCTTTACTGGCACTGTGGTTACCTCAGGACAAACAATTGTATAGATAAAAGGTAAAGTGGGGTTCCCTCCGGACATCTCTACTTATACAAGATGTAAGACAATAATAAAAGCTACAATGAAAGCTTATACAATATGGAAACAGAAGAATATATAAAAAGGCATATGTCTAGTTAAATAAAGTGCAAATATGGGCCATGAGCCAGTGGTTTTCAGATCAAAAAGGGTGAGTGGGGTATTGCAACATTTGGAGGCAGCACACACACACACACACACACACACACACACACACACACACACACACACACACACACACACACACACACACACACACACACACACACACACACACACACACAATATAATGGAAACAACAACAAAAGTACACAGAGCAAAGCTTCATCTCCAAAAACTGAAATTGATGATAAGTCCACCTGAAATGCCAAGGCGGCATTTCAGCTGAGTTTAAAAGGGGGACGCTGTGTGTGTTTTCATGCTGTGGCCAAATAGACCTTTCCAGCCTCCTTTTTCTCCCATGTGAAGATAAAATGTTTCACTATGGCAACTAGGGCTTCCCCCTCTGGGTCAATGAGTTGTCTAGCTAGCTGGTTGCTTTAGTCGACTACAATTATTCATTTTTTGGGGCATTCTTCATTCTGACTTCCAATATGTGCACATCTCCGAATCAACAATATTTTTAGTGGTGCTTTAGGGTGAGTATTTATTGGAGAAACTTGGTTTAGGAGCAACCAAATTGTATACATTTTAGTTGACTCAAGGACAGCCCTGTAGTCTCTGAAAGATTAGGATTTTAGGGTTGTTTGGTTTAAGTATAGTAGTAAAGGATAGGATAAGCCTTTAACTAAATCACTGAAAGTCAATCCAATATCCTCACAAGTATCCAAAACAAAAAAGCAGATACTCCCACTCAATGATGGGGTGCCCTACGTAACGTTCCCTCTTTTTGGATAAGTATTCACGTGCGTGAGTGCTCTATCACCATCGCTAATGTGACGCCACAATGGAGTGCCGGTGATGTGGGCCCGGTGAGGGGCCAAAGTCATCAATCAGGCGGATCGAAACCGCAACGATAAATCAATAGCGGCCCCCGGGAGCGATGACAGTGGCGCGTGAATCCGCCTCGGTCTCTCTCGCGGCCATCCATCAACAAGTCCACAGTTCACCAAGTACAGGGCAGCAGCCACGCGCACAGTGGCGGCATGTTAGCGGTTGTACGGGAGGCGTGAGGGTAACATTAACACATGTCAGTGTGTGGAAAACGAACCGGGACTGTGGCGACAGGGTGAAGTTAAAGGGGAAGGGCTGCGTGTGTCCGTTAAAGTGGCAAGCAGCGTGCAGCACGAGGGGGAGTTGCTGCGTAGAGGATAATTACCGACCCGAGACCACCTGACACAATAAAAACCTACAAGTGACAATAGAAAGGTGGAAGAAAACCTAATAAAGGGAGACAACGCTGCAAGTGCTGCTGCTGATGGGAGGAATCACACTGGAAAAGAAGGTGACAGCCACACTGTGAGACTGTCACATCTGTTGAGGATAACAACTGGCTGACACCCGCCCAGAACCTCACTTACACACCTACCGATGGTGTCCGGTCACACGCGCGTCCCCCTGTCCTCTATCAGTGATGTAGTCCATTCAATGCGAGTGTTTTCTTTTTACTCACCCCGTGTGCTGTCGCTGCCAGTCTCCGTCCGCTCCCCTGTCCTACGGTGTGACTTAACGCGAGAGAAGGCGAGCCGTGGGCGCGTGCAGCCCCCACTTGCGCCATCCATTGCTGCGGTCGCGGCACGCCGCTCTCGCGATACCGTGCCATCTTCATAGGAGTGTGTGTGGTGTGACGGTGTGACGTAGCAGTTTTACCAGAGTCCCGTTGGCTCACTCAGCCCGATGCCGCCGTCTCCTGGGCGAGAGGCGAAAAGAGCAGTAGGATGGTGATGTCATCCCGTATTTGATTTTATTTATTTATTTTTGATAAGGACAATCAGACTGATAGACTTATTATACCTGAGTGGGAGGAGTTATTTTATTGATGGGGGACCATATATAAAGGGGGGGGGGACAAAGAAACAAAGAGAGTCATCAAGTTTTCAACAATTTTAGTATCAACTCATTCCCTACACAACAACAACAACAACAACAACAACAACAACAACAACATCAAATACCTTAAGTGGTGTTTTTTTTAGTAATATTTGTGTCAGTGACTTGGTTACATTTTCATTAAATACAATTTTAAAATCTGGTTATTGTTATCTCAACATCAAATTACATTAAAGTCTTTGCTGCAAAAATATCACCAATGGTGTCATCATGACATTTTCTTTTGGAGAGGGGCCACAGGTGGGGTCCACATTCAGTGTTACAGGAGCATTAACCCCATTTGTTTGGTTCTCTCACACACCTCCACAGTCAGATGTAACCTCCTGTCAGAAACATGGAGAACACCTGTTTACTTCCTTTCATTGGAGATCTGCCCGCACAAGTTTACTGTCACACTGCTGTTCACAGAGAAGGTGAGAGGTCATCTTATAGGCATTTACAGAAATAGAAACCTTTTGGGGAAATCCCCGTATCTGCTTTCTTGGTAAAAGTTAGATGAGAATTTTGATTTCTATTTTAGACATTTTGTTTATATATTCTTTATGTGGGTTAAAAACCCCACATAAAGAAAGGCTTATAAGATTTTTTCTTTTGGCTCTTGCTTACTTACTTTGGGACCTAATCCGCTACTTTATTCATTTATTTTAGACCTTTGACGATGAGTAAAACAAAGAATTCAGATCAGATTTATTTTCCAAACTGATGTTGTAAAGTTCTTCTTTTTTTTTTTAAATAATCAGGACTTTTGAGTAACACTTCAACAAGTCCAGGACTTGCACAGTGTTGAAATGAGAAGCAGACAGACCTTTTGTAAAGGGGACTTTATTGCATAAATACATTGTTTTAAGAGTGCAGAGTGCTCATCTGTACCTATTCACACAGGTCTTACATCGGTTCACAGCATGCTAGATATGGGTAAGACTCAATCATGGTTGGAGATGATGGGATTAGAAAGCACACTATATGGGAGATTCTAAGTCATTTTCCATCAAGTCGTTTTTTAAGTTGTTTTTTTTCCCAGCAGTTCTACCAATCATCATGTTGTCAGTCATGTGGTGTCAATTATAAACTGTGCCTAATGTTCTCATTTATTCACTCATGAGGGTGTTTCCTTCATGTGTGTGTATGAGTTCCAGTGCATGTATTGCTTGTGTGTGCAAGCGTGTTCACAGGTCGTCTGTCTCATCGAAGGGGATGATGTCCATGTCCATGTGGAGGTTTGAGTTGTCCTCACTGCAGATCCATCCAATGGGGGTGCGGTTGAATGAGGGCCGTGTACGCATGTCCCCCTGCTGGCCGGGCAAAGGCTCCATCTCGTCTGTGCCATCATTGAACTGTGGGAGTTCGAAGGTCAACGCCTTGGACACCTTGTCTACGCCGCCAAATGGCAGCGCGGTCCTTGGGAAAGAGAACAAAAGGAGATACAGGAAGTTAGGGAGCAAGAAGGGAAGACCAGGAAAGATAACACACAACATACAGAACATATGACTTGTAACGTAATTTTATTACAAATTACGTGAAGTTTCAATGTTACACATTGTTTGCAGGTTGCAGGGATGATCTACTTAACCAACTATGTGTCATGAGAACAATGGAATTTCAATTTCAATTCAAAGAAAATGTATCTTCTTTGTTGCGCGTTTAAACACAAAGTTACTGAAGTGAAATTACTCAAAACATTACAAGAGGCGGAAAGCATTGCCGTAATGGTATTCATTTAGCTTTTTATTATTTTAAAACAGTTTGTAAAACATAAAAATATATCCCTAAGGTTCCAAGATTGATCTTAAGTAAAGGATGGTTTGAAACTAAAATAATGTTTGTTGGGTACGTCTGGGATTTTTTTACATTGACAGGAAACTTATTTGTGATGCATCAAAAACAAGCCTAACACAGGAGAAAATATGTTTCCTTTGAAATTTAATTTACAATTCAGTTTTGTATTTGTAGGAGACCAGGCTGACTGACACAATTTATATACTGTATAGCCAATTCTTTTTGACTTATAGGCTAACGCAAAACAACTATGGACAAATTAAATCAAGTCAGCTAAATTCAATGGTCTCATCATTTTACTTTGTGTTGCATACAAGGAAATGTGATGCTTGTTTGTGTTTACCTGTTGAAGCTCTTGTACATTGGCAGGTCAAGGTGCTCTTGGATGGGTCCCGGCATGCAAGACCTCATGGTGGCTCTCAGCTCCTCGTTGCCCCTCATGGCCCGTTCCCATGGCGATACGTAGATGGGTACATACTGCTTCCTTCTCTTCTCCTTCTCTGCTTTCTCATCCAATATCTCTTCTACGACTGAAAGCACGCAGGAGGGGAGAAGCAGGGAGATTTAATGCAAAATCTTAACAGAAAGAAACACTGAAAAAATTGAATAATAATCTTTGACCCCACCTTCTTCCTTCGTTACATCAGGCTTTGGTGGGACAGGAGGGGGGCACATCAGCATGTTCTCAAGATTCTGCTGGAAGACAAAAAAAGGAAAATCATTATTCTGCTCCGTAAAGATCTATACACACAACCTAGTGTTCACAAACACAACCTCCCATTCTATTATTCACTCTAGAGTCTATACCTTGTTCATGGTAGTCACGATGAACTTCTCTACTCTTTGCTGTCTCATCCTGAACATCTTGGAGCCCTTGTTTGTGTTCAAAGAGAGCTCCTCCAGCATGGTGTCCTTGGGCGTCTTGATCTTGGTGCCCAGGTCAAACTCAGCAGCCTCGGAGTCTGACTCATCATCTGACAGGAAGAGGAAGAGGGTGTAAGGAAGGGATTAAAATATTGCAGGTGGTGTATGAGGAGAAAAGGTAGGGAAGATCTTTATTGAATTATATTGCATTACTGCACCAATAAGGTGCTTTTATTTTCATCAAATGTTCTGTTGATCTGTCCAATCAGTTCAAAAGTAAAAAGCGTGTTTTAATAAAACAAATGTTATAACTTTTGTGAAGACTTTTAATAAATACAAATATTATCATTTTGGGAAATATCCTTATTTGTTTCCAGCAACTCTTCTAGAAACGTATATGACGCTACAGCCAGCATTTCTTAAATTAGCTTAGCAAAAAGACTAGAAAAAGGGAGAAACACTGAGCCTGGCTCTGACTTGTAATTGCACTGTTGAGGAACCTGCAATCTAAGTTTTTCATACATTACATAATTACACCATATGTGTATAAGTTATGACAATAAACCTTTGAATCTTGAATCCAAATGTAAGGAAATATGCTAAGACACAGCACATGTTAAGAAATGAACACCTTATACAGTATCTTGTGTACAGCAACAGTAAAGTGTAAAATAGTTGTGACAGTTTAAGCAAAGCTAACCTTTTTTGGCTGTATTCCGAGTGAAACGCAAGCCATACATCTTCCGTACTGCAACGTATTCCCTTGTGAATGTTTGAGCAGTGTTTAGTTATAACAGGATTTACATAAAGTGCATGTTATTGGGCCATTTCAAAGTGGACGGGCCTTAAATGTAGACTTTTCACATTGGCTTGACTGCATAGGGAGAGACGTCTCTAAACCAGGGGATGATTTATTTTGAGCTAAATCAACTACCCTGTGTGAACATTAAATGTAATGCTTTAAATCATAAGGTCCTATATGCGCTATGGGCTTCAGGAATGCAGAAGATCAGTGGAACATCTGGGTCATTTTATTCCTCGAAAGTCAAACATTTTTGGCTTAATGTCCCATCTCCAACATTGTATCAAGTTATCTTTATACATCATCTCTTATGTCATATCTTGTTTTACACCAGAAAAGCATATGCTGTTAAATAGGTTCAAGATATGAACAGTAAAGGCGTAAATTATTCATTCAATCCTCGGCAACTATGAGAGCAGTATTGATTTTATTCTCAATACTGCTTGGGAAAGAAACCCAAGAGTACCAGTTTTGGGCGTTTTTTTGTTTTGTTAATAAAGTCTTGGCGGAGGTAAAACACTTTCTGAAAAGTGCTCTCTCTTATAAGCCAAAACCATTTGGAAAATTAAACTGTGGGTTTATCTTCCACTGTATATCTTAAATTAAACAAGGGATGTATGAGAATGAAAAGGGCACATTTTAATCCTCTGTTATTCCATATTATCCTTGTGACGAATTAGAGATGAAACCTAGTGAACAATCATGTTATGGGGTGTGTGTGTGGGGGGAGTTGTAGGGGTTACTAGGCCAAAGCAATATAGAAGAAAAGGGCACTGGGGAATGTCAAGGCAGGTTTTCTGTTAGAACTGTTTATTGAGGGAAATCCTAATAACACACTGCCGCTCTCCCTCTCTTTCCACTCTTCTGTTTCAGTGATGGAGAGATCTGATGAATTTTACTGCTCCACAGAGCTCCTCATAAAACACTCTTCTCATCCACCACATACACTCTGATATCACTCATAACACCTGGAGTCCAGCCATAAACCGACACGCACACATGCGCACGAAACCCATCTATAAAGCGGGGAGTTGGCATTGCAATGCTGCGGAGAGCTGTTAGCAGTACCTCATAAATCAGACTTGTGCAAGTGGGTGTGTATTAAGTGTGTGTGTGTGTGTGTGTGTGTGTGTGTGTGTGTGTGTGTGTGTGTGTGTGTGTGTGTGTGTGTGTGTGTGTGTGTGTGTGTGTGCAAGAGAGAGGGAATAATTGTGGTTGCTGAGCAGAGCGAACTCTC